TTACGGGTTCGTTATCCGGGCATCGCAAAACATGGTCACCGGATGCTCGGACATTGCCGGGAATGGGTACCCCTCCGCGGGCGGTCGGAAGCCGTTCAAGGGAGGCGTGTCCGGAGGCATGTATGGAGCTGCATTCGACGGTGGCCTTCCTCCGTCGTCGAAACACGGGAGTTCGAACTGACCGGCCATTCCATAGCCTCGGCAGTCGTTGCGCTGATCTTAAAACGCCGCCTCCCCGGCCATTGGCGGATGCATTCCTGTCGACTGCCCAACCCCCCGTGCCAAACTCGCAACTGTAGCCGACAACAACGATGGAGGAACTGGTGAGTATCTCATAGAAGCCGATCGCCCAAGCTCCGTTGGATCATGATTCCAAACCGGGGGTGGGCGATAATACCCTGGGTATGAATTCGCTGGCCGCATGTTGTTCATGTCCGAAGGGGACGGTGACAAACCCCCGGCTAGCTGACTCTCGAATCGCCCCGTGTTCTCTCTCTCCACACCGGCCCTCCTACGAGGATCGACTGTGCTCATACGGTCCTGTGACCATGGACGACAACTGATGTCATCACTGCCCTCCATCTCCCTATCCTGCAACCTCCCCACACAGATCACTCCACAAACCTGTCTATATGGCTATCTATCTATCTATCTATCTATCTATCTATCTATCTATCTATCTATCTATCTATCTATCTATCTATCTATTTATGTGTCCACCTTGTAATACGTCCACCCATCTGCCTCTGCATGTGCCTCACCAACGCATCAGAAAGTACAAAGCGCCAAGACCTATGAACGTGAACACAACAACGCTTGCAAAAAACAACACGAGAACACCCAACATCAGAACGAAAACGACGGACATCACGGGCCGAACTACACCCGCCTTGCAACCGTCGCAGTCGGCCGAACTTTCAACGACAACGAATATGGGACGACGACATCCACAACAGCAACACGGGCAGACGTGTGGACGCAGCTCACGATGTGGCAATGAGTTGCAAGCCACGCCTTCACGTTTTCTCACGACAACTGGCAGACGCTCCGTCACACGGGATGTGCACATGTCAACAGCAGACAACGACGGCCGACGAACCTGGCACCCGTGACCTCCCCGCCCGCTCGGAACTGCCGAAACGAATCCTTCGTCCCAACGCCCGGACCCCGCGTGCACAACGTCGCCGACGATTTCCTTAGGCCGGCCCACCAGTGATGACGGGATGAAAGGCAGCACCTTCTCGCATAGTCTGGCCGCGCTCCGGCTGAAAACACTCTGCGGCTGAGGCACGCGTGAACGTGTCTGCCATGCCGCGTTTCCGACACAACGCTTCGCTTGATGGAGAGCGGTCGTTGGATTCGGAAGACGAAGCAGCCGACCCCCCCAGGACGTGCGTGCAGCTTTCGCGAACGATCCGTACATGGCCACAGAGACTGCCATTCCATGCACTCTGCATGCCAACACCGGACGAAGGACAGCGGCTTCTGCATGCAGCCGGCCTACGTGCTTGTTGTGGCGATACGGAGGCGGGCGACCGAAATTCGAAATCGCAGGGCCGTTGGAACGCGGGAAAATTTCAAAACCCATATTTACGAGGCCCTCCCCACCCCAGACGGTGCCACGGTCCAGGGCCCAACGGTCACCGTGCGACAACAACCCTTGTCCGGCCTGAGGCCCGCTGGACCGAACACTGGACCGGTACATGTCCGCTTTGCAGGTGCCCGACTTCCGTCCGAACCCGGAGTACGCACCCAGGACCCCGTTTTGGAAAACGGGAATTCAGGGCCACGTAGGAGTGAGGGGGCCGCGGACCGAGTCGACGACTTCCGCGACGCCAAAATCCGTCTGTGGGGTCTCGGAAGTTGGCTCAGAACTTCCGAAACCGTTTGCCGCGGTCCTGTGGGGTCCTACCCTAAGTGGAGCGAGGCTTCTTTCTCCGAGAGTGTTAGGTGTCTGACAGCTCTAGAAGCACTCACGAGACACGAATTTTTTTGTCATAGAGCGAGGCCCCATCACGTGCGTCGACGTTTCTCTCCCGTGTACCCTACCCGACCTCACCCCAACCTCGCCCCTACCTTACCCCCCTCCCCCTTTCCCCTCCCCTTCCCCTTCCCCCTCCATTCACCCCTATGCTTCCACATTCTCTCGCTCGCATTTCCTCCTCTTAGGTTCCTTCCGTGTATGCCATTTCGTGTCTTCACCGGGTTCGCACTCATGGGCGCCAGACTGAACTCACATTGGACATCGCTCTGCTAGTCTTGACATGCACAAAAGACGAGAAACATAGCGGTGTATCTTTCGAAGTTCTAGCGGAAGATTCATTCTCATTTTGCACATTTCAAGATTAGTGGAGCGAAGCCCATTATCAGCATCAATCAGCTATCTAAGTTCTGCATGTGTACAGTGAGGCAGGCTCAGTCCCGGGCATCTCCTCCCCGTTTTCTTGTCTCCTCCCCCTCCCAGTCCCCCTCCCCCTCCCCCTCCGCCTCCGCCTCCCCC